TTTGTAGTCCTCTATAGCTGGTGGTATTTAGCATTGTACCACTGTATAATGTACTATTGCTGGGATTTGTTGTACTCTTCTACAGCTGGTGGTATTCTGCATTGCGCTGTATAATGTATTATTGCTGGGACTTGTAGTCCTCTATACAGCGTAATGCAGAATATCACCAGCTATAGAGGAGTACAACAAATCCCAGCAATACATTATAGAGCACCATGTGTGGGAAAGTGCAGTCTTCCAGCAACGTGCTTCTGAGATCGGACCTGTCTATCAGCAGCTGTCATCCCCCCACACCTGCTCCTCCTTACTACATCTCCCTGCGTCCCAGTGCCGATCGTGGATGTGGATGGGCAGGAAATGTGAGGCGGGGAGGAGGTGCGGCGTGTGGATGCGAGCGGGTCTGGCAGCGGCGAGCGTGAGGTGGGGAGGAGGTGCGGCGCACAGCGTGTGGAGCCGTGAACAGGGCCAACTGATCGGAAGGCGATTAATCGATTATTGAAAAAGTTGACAACTTTTTCAATAATCGATTATGTCGATTAGTTGTTGCAGCCCTATTGCACATGCCTACTTTTTTTTTCTAAGCCCAAAACTATGTGACCAAAACACATTGAATTTGTTTAAGTGACTCTATCACCACATTAACCAGTAACCATAACCTGTAAAAGAAGAGCACCTATGCTGGCCTTTCCAGCAACCAATCAACTTCTCTCTCATTTTCAGAGATCTTAACTGAACAAACTGAAGAGAGAAGCTGATTGGTTGCCATGCTCCAGTTTTGATAAATTCCCCTCAATGTATTCTCTGTTAAGATGCCATGATTTTATCCCAAATTACGTCAAATTACCTAAAATATAGTATAAATCACTGCTGCAACAATCCCAATTGCAAAATAAATGGCTTTTTTTTTTTTTACATAGAGTGTTTGAAGGACATCTCTAATAAAAAAAGTCAGTCAAAAAGACATAGCTCACTTCTGTGATGGACTACAATCTCACGTTTAGTTTACAATTTGTATTGAGAGTGTAGTCTATCACAGGAATGAGCTTGGAGCGGTGACCACTTTACAACACACAGGGACCATGAGGAACAAAAGTAGCCCCCCTCCAGAAGGAAGGACAGTGTGAGCACCAATCCAGAGAGGATTTAAGGATCTACAGCTGTCTGATACATAGGGCTGCAACTAATGATTATTTTCTTAATCGATTAGTTGGCTGATTATTTTTTCGATTAATCGGATAAAAATCTTTTCTTTTTTTTTTTAAATACCATCCTTAATTAAAAATAAAATACACAAACGCAATGTTACAACATAAAGTTTACTTCAGAATAAAACTGCATGCACATTTTTTGAATCGCACTGCACTGGAGCACACAGCATTGCAGTACCGTGCGTTCCAGTGCGTGCGATCACACTTTGGATGGGAGGTACGTTTGGGGTGCCATCGAAATGAATGGCACTGCAGCGCACCTCCTGCAGCAGAATTTGTCAGGACGAAAATTACTCTCTTCCCACCTTTTTATTAAAAAAAAATTAATAGTATTGTAAGCACATGGAGCTTGAATAGCTTCAGCCAGAGAATGACAACTGCCAGTGGCAAGATTCCGCAGATGGCAGCGGAATGTAAATACAGCAGGCAGTGGGCGGGTGCAATAGCCAGTCTGCTACTGGCCATTTCAAATTGCAATAGCAGATTGGCTATTGCACCTGCCCACTGCATGCTGTGTCGTCCTCCCAGCATGGAGGAGAGAGCTAGGGGATCCAACCAACTAATCAATAATGAGAATAGTTGATAACTATTATCATCGATTAGTTGGTTGCAGCCCTAGTGATACACAAATAAAGTACATTGTTGTGAATAGTTAAGGTAGTTGAATGTATTTTTAAGATTTAACTCCTGAGTTTAGTGTCACTTTAATGTTACAAGGTCCTGGTGAGCTATTAGACTGATGGAATGGCATAATTAGGTGTTCATTTGTCTTTCTTTCTGTGCCCTGTTGTGTGAAATCTTACAATCTAAGAAAAAAAACTGACTGTAGATGTCATCCCTTTTCTTGCTTGTATACACCAGTTATTTTGTTTGCTAACCATTTAATTTTTCTTCCAGACCATTGACCAGTTTGAATACGATGGTTGTGACAACTGTGATGCCTACCTACAGATGAAGGGGAACCGGGAAATGGTGTATGATTGTACAAGCTCCTCATTTGATGGGTATGTTAGTTTATATGCACTGCTTGTGGATTGTAAAAATCAGACCTCCAGACTAACCGTGGCATCATTTGTTTAGGATTGTGGCCATGATGAGCTCTGATGACAGCTGGGTGTCAAAGTGGCAGCGAATAAGTGAGTATTCTAATATATAAAAATAATAATATAAAGCAGTGAATCTTCCAGGTGCATATAATAAAAATGTATTATTAAGCAGTAAATCTTTCAGGTTGTACTCGTTTTAAATTACAGTGATTGATTAACCTGCAGTGAATGTCACATTCACTGCTATATAAATATGCCCCTAGGTGCATTTTTATCTGGCTGCTTCTGCTGGTCTCCATGTGTTTATATTTGAAATTTAAAGCCCATTTCCACCTTTTGCAGAGGTATTTTGAAAAAACATATGCCAGCAATGTACACCAAGTTTACAGGAAACAGGCATATACAGTTGATGTATATGGAAACAGAAACTTACATGTTTGTTAGCTTTCCTCTTCATATCCGCATGGAAGTTTCTGGCTCTGTGCTGTGCAAGCAATGTGAAAATAGCCCCCCTCCCTCCTTCCTTGGACAGTGTATTGTGTGTAAAGGCAGAGATATTGTTTTCTGATCATTTTACAATGGATGACAGGGAGGGGGAGAGCCGATTACAGCCTAATTACCGTCTGACTCTGGTGTCTGACTGAATTTCCTGTGGAGAAAATTTCTAATTTTTAGGCTTCAGGCCTAAAAACGCTTTCATAAAAAAGATGAAAGCCAGCAATGTCAGTCATAACAATGTGAACATGTATACATCATCACTGCACCTCTACATTACCACAATAAATGCAAATCACTTACAAGGGTGGAAATTAACTTTAAGGCACATGTTTGGGGAGGTTAAACAACCAGCAGCATCAGACATCATAAACTAATTACACCCACATTTGTCCCCACAGCATTGCCTGTCACCTTCCTTCCCACCTCCTGTTAGTGAAGAACATGCCTGCCCCCATTTCATGTCATCTATATTTCTCTGCAGATAGTGACCCATCAGATAGCGGCACTGAAGGGACAAACCAGTCTGTGTGATGGCTTGTGCTGTTAGTCCCAGCCCCACAATTTTGGTTTATAGGGTTAGAACTGTAAGAATGTGGATTATTCCCAGTCAAGTATCTTTATAACATCTGCTTGAAGTAAGCCATTTTGTCCATATCTGGCTGTAAGGCCAGTCATTGACATGAGGCAGCAGTGGGACTTGGTGTTATATGGACAGCATGGTGCAATGGGCAGAACCTGATTGGTTTATAATGCTGACCTTCCTTCTCCCAGGCTGTGTTCTGTTGGGCAGGGAATTACATGCAGCCAATAAAGAGATGGCGTCTAGGTATATATACTAGCTGTGTTTAAGAAAGATATACAATGATGGTTAATGAATGCATAACTGGAATAAGTGGCTGCCTTTGTCTTCCTAAAATTTAGCTTTAATGTAAATTCCAGATATATCAGAATTACTTGTCCATGTTTTTTTAAGGTGTCTACTACGTGTGTGTGTTAATTTTACCCGTGTTTTTTTTATTTATCTGATCTCTGTTCTTTGTTATATGAACTACATTCTAATATATAGCACTAATGTTTAGCTCTCCATTCTTTCCTAACTATTGTCACTCAGCAGTTATCCTGTACAATATGTTGCTTAAAGGAGAACTATGGGGTCAAGGCTTTTCCCCATAGCTCTCCTAAGGGTAACGGGAGCACACAAACTAGCGTCCTCCCTTCACCCAAAGCTCAGTATATAGGGAGCTACAGCTCACGGTATACTGAGACGCCGCACCTGGAGCGGATCCCGACTTAGATGACGGGATCCGCCCAGCTGCGTGAGTGACAGCTGGCTCTGCCTATCTAGAGGCAGAGCCAGCTGTACCCGCCCCGTCCGTTCCGCCAGTCAGCGCTGGAGGATCGGACACTCGCGGCTCCCTGCAGGGATAGATCGAGAAGTGAGCAGTGTTCGCTCACTTCCCGAACTATTGAGCCGACCTGTGACAGTTTAATTGTCACAGGTCGGCTAGAACTATGAGGATGAGTGATTTTCACTCACCTCATAGTTCTCCTTTAAATCTGTTACCTCCCCTGTAAATATCCAGTCAACTTTGGAAGCCTGTCAGATGTTCACAAACTCTGTCCATTCCAACAGTTTTTCTATTTTTTAATAGATGTGTCATTGTTACATAGTAGGTGAGGTGGAATAAATTAACCTTGTGTGTGTGTCCATCAATTCCCATAACCCTGTATAGTCCATAAACTGAGGAATTCACCCAAGTGTTTTTTGAAACTGTTAATGTTTTCTGTTGATACGTTCCAAATTTTTACTGCTCTCACAGTGTAAAAAAAACCCCTACATAGTTTGAAATTGTACCACTGAGCACAACAGGGAACACACCAGTGTTGGTTTCTGAAAAGGCTTTAGTTGATGATACCTCTATGGCACATTGATTCATGGAAAGTGCACAAATTCATGTAGGAGGGCTGTTTAAAAAAAAAAAAAAAAGCCAATCCATGCTACATAAGTAAAAAAGAAGGAATAGAAACTGTTGCCATTTTACCAAATATTGTGGCCTTGTCATTTTCTGGACTTTGTGACATCTCTGTAGTATTATTTACTACTGAGCACTGGATTATTTTGGCAGAGTTTATACACGTCAGATTGATTCATGTCGTAGATCCTCAAATCATCGGCTGTAGATCCTCAAATCATCTCTGAATTGGTGCTGACACTGTCCTTCCTTCTGGTGGGTGGCTACTTTTGTTCCTCATGGTCCCTGTGTGTGTTGTAAAGTAGCCACCGCTCCAAGCTCACTCCTGTGATGGACTACAATCTCACTTTTGGTTTACTAATTAATTTTGAGATTGTAGTCCATTACAGGAGTGAGCTTGGAGCGGTGGCTACTTTACAATACACGCAGGGACCATGGGGAAGAAGAGTAGCCCCCCTCCAGAAAGAAGGACAGTGTCAGCACCAATTAATTTTTCCTCACTGCAGATCCTGTCTTTAAGTACTAGGAATCAAGTGGGGAATCCCCCAACATGCACACAGGCACAGCAGTGGGAGCAATAAGGGAAGGAAATGGTACAAGGAACTTCACTGCACTGGATTATGACCACAAGGCTGCCGTGTCAAAAATAAATTTACTCCCAGACTTTCACATTCAGCCTTAGCTTACCGTTTTTTTGAGTCTAAAATGAATACCGCAAGTGGAAGTCCTATTAACGTTTTGTTGGTCTGCACGTCACTGAATCAGTTACAAAAACAAAGCGACATACCACAGTGCTTTCCAACTGTAGAATTCCTGCTTTCTTTAACTTTCAGGTGGTTTCACAATTGTGTTAGGGTGCCCACACACCTTACGATAATCGTGGGAAATCCCGCGATCGTACGATTATCGTAAGGTGTGTGGAAGCCGCGCGACCTCTACTACTGTAAGGTCTCACGACTTTAAACTTACGAACATGTTCGAAAACCCGCCGAGCATCGTAGCATGTTCGTAAGAAAAAAGCTGGACGGGCCGGTGTGCGCAAGCGCACACTGCCCGTTCGGCATTGCGGTCATCGGAAGCCCGCCCTCAGGGGGGCGCGGCTTGCGATCATCGCAAGTACGATCTGCCTGTCCAAGATAGGCAGATCGTATGTTTTTTTTAAGTACCTTACAACCATCGCAAGACAAAAGTCTTGCGATGGTTCTAAGGTGTGTGCCCAGCATTAGTTAGAGGTTAATCAGGGGTGGGCAACACTGATCCACAACAGCTGGAGGGCTGCAGTTTGCCCATCCCTGGTATAGAGAAATAACCTGCTGTACTGTCCCAAATCAAATATATGTGCTAATCAAGAAGGATAAAAAGGGCCAGCGAATAGGTTAGTTGCAAACTGTTAGTATACTGTAGATGGTATATGCTGTACATTTGTCTAGATAAACTTGATCTTGGTATATTTGGATGTTTACTTGCTAATAAGATGCATATGTTTTATGTATACATACAACTTTTTTTTTTCTTCTTGTTATATGTTCAATTTTTGTATTTTCTCTTCTCTTTCAGCTAATTTCAAACCAGGAGTGTATGCAGTTTCTGTTACAGGACGCCTGCCGCAAGGTAGGATAAATGCCAGCCAGCCTTGTGCTCATTCCTGTAACATTTTAGATATTTTAAAGAAAACTTTTTGGTGCTGACAAGTTGAACATTTGTGTGGCACATTAGATAGATAGATAGATAGATAGATAGATAGATAGATAGATAGATAGATAGATAATGTGTGTGTGTCTGGCCTCACTGATGCTAAGGTTGAATACTTCCCTCACTATTTCCTTTTTTTTTTACCCTTACCTTGTCAATGTCAATAAGTAACTCCAGTAAAACAACACAATTACACACTTTAGAAAACAATGTGAATATCATTTTCAATTTCTAGATATTCAGAATATTTTTCTGATTTATATTAATAGAAATATTGCACATGTCTTCTCTTGGCCGTGCTTTGGTATTGACTCAGCTGTTTCTCCCAATGGAACCTTAGCTAAACTCAACATCCTCTTATTAAAATGTAATCTTAAATTCATCTTTTTCATATTACAAATAACGTTTGTCCTTGTTCAGTAGCATTTGTGTGCTATAATCATTTTATGGTGTACTCCTATTTTTAGCTTGGTCACTGTGAAGATCTTTCAACTTCTCAAAGACATAACTAAAAAGAGTCTTGGAGAGTCCTTCACTATTATTCTATCAAATAATTTGCTACTGAACAAGAACAAAACGGTTTATTTGTACTGTCAAAAAGAGCTGTTTAAAGCAGTGGTTCTCAACCTGTGTAACCTCGGGACCCACATGTTTCCTTGGTCATTAAGGTGTGACCCGAAAATGATTTCATTTCTGATCGGCCCGATATTAATGCGCCGGTCCGAAAGTGAGGAAATAGTCCCCTCTCTCCCCGGGCCATACCACTTTTTCGGAGAGCCCGGGGGAGGCCGGGAGAGAGGGGACAGTTTGACATTATGAGGTTCCACAGGCTGAACCACAAATTCCCCCCTCTAGTTCTCCCTAATGCAGATGGGCCGGTCTATGCAGACATGACGCCGCGACCCACTGCAGAGGGTGTCGCGACCCACTTTTGGGTCGCGACCCACGAGTTGAGAACCACTGGTTTAAAGCATATATAGAACCCCAGCAATGAACTGCTCTTATTTGCTGCCTTTTGGTTGTTACATTTACCATTGAAAACATTTTGTTCAATCTGTTCCATGAGTGCAAAATATGTGTAGATCCTGCCAGAAATCCAATGCTGTCGTATGCACTCTGCAGTCCTATCTTAAACAATGTTATCAGATAGTGTCAGGATTACAGAACAATTCACTCCTAACTTATGGAGCAGAAGACAGGGGGACATGTGAACTCCACAAGCTGGCCATATAGTGGTAGATTTCCGAACGAACACTCGTAGAAAAGATCTTTCTAGACCATTCGATAATGCCATCAGAGACTTCCAAAATTTGGTTTGTTTTTCATTTTGACTTTACATTCCATTTTGGAATAAATGGCGTTTCCTGAACGAAAACCACATTCAATGTTAAAATTTAGCTTCTATAATGCTGGGCACTCACCTTACAACCATCGCAAGACTTTTGTCTTGCGATGGTTGTAAGGTAATTTAAAAAGCGTACGATCTGCCTATCTTGGACAGGCAGATCGTACTTCCGATGACCGCAATGCCGAACGGGCAGCGTGCGCTTGCACACTCCGTCCCGTCCGGCTTTTATCTTACCAACATGCTACACACCCGCCGAAAATCGTACGATTCTCGGCGGGTTTTCGAACATGTTCGTAAGATAAGTCGTGTGACCTTACAGTAGTAGAGGTCGCACGGCTTCCACACACCTTACGATATTCGTACGATCGTGGGATTTCCCACGATTATCGCAAGGTGTGTGGGCACCTTTAGAAACATTTTCCATCCTGCTCCTTTGATTTTTGTTTTGCCACTGTAGTTGAAATTGTTAATCGATTTGACCCTCTTAACTATTAGAAAGTCGAATGAACATTCTGAGAATGCATTTTCTCAAACAAAATTCTACTGGTGTGTGGCCAGCTTTATACACTTTGTCCTAAAGAGACAACGCTGCTCCTCCATAGATACAGTGCAATGAGTGAGCATCACCCTGGGACAAGAATTTTACTGGCAGGATCAGCAGGTGAAAAATATAAGGGGGGGGGGGCGGAACAGATGCAGCCATCACGTCTGAGGACTTGTAAGCTTCAAAATATGACATGTTGTTTTTGTGTTTGGATGCCCTTTAAGATTAGATTTTCACTTGTTTGCGTATCACAAGCTGTACATACCTTCTCGCCATATAGCTAACGGTGCTTTTCAGTTCAGGGTGGAAAATCTCTGTCTTTATGTACCACTAATAAAATGTTAAAGTAGAACTATGGGGAGAGTGAAATACACTAATCCCCATAGTTAGAGCCAACGTGTAACACTGAAGCTGTTGTGTATGCTGGAAGTGATCGTCTGTTTATATTACACATAACCTGCTGTTCCATCACATATCTATCATCCTTTCATCTGCACCATGATGGAGCTATGTTTCTCTTTCAGGTATTGTGCGTGAGCTGAAAAGCCGCGGGGTGCTTTACAAATCCAGAGACACTGCTATCAAGACATAACTGCAGAAGAAGGGCTGGAGCAGAGATTGGGTTGATGTCTATGTCTTCTCTTCCGTCGGTTTTATTTTCCTGTTATGTTGCTGAAGCTGTGGTTTCCCCGCAGTGGGGGAAGGGCTGTGCCACTCAGCCCGCCACATGTACAGACACTTCATGTCTTTCTGTCTTCTGAGACTCTGGAGGAGAACGGGGGGGTGGGGGCTGTGTTTTGGGACTAAATAAAGATGCATAAATCCTGATCACTTTGTCATTTCATTTTTTTATTCATGACAATTTTCACCCCAAAAAATAAAAAAGTTACGTGACCTGGCAACAGCTCTGTGGGTGTCTCTCTGAGTTTTTCAAAAGCTCTGCCCAAACAGTTGCATGCAATTTAGAACAACTAGTAAGTGTGAAACTCTGACTACCGACACCAAAGTAGGCGCTTAACCCATTCCATACCACATATACGTCACAAGTTCTAGTCTACTGTGGCCGTGGAGAGGAAGTGGCTGACAGTTACTGTGAGAGCAGAACTGAATGTAACGGAAAGAGAGGCGTTGCTAAAAAAGAGCTTTAATCTCTTTCCCGTGCCTCACCCTAAGTAGCCCAGAAATGTTAACACAAATATGAAATGTATTTTGTTTCTTTGCGACTTGCAACTTCCACACCATCGTTGATGCTCTCCGTTCACAAGTCTTAAGTATAAGAGTGTTGGACCCCTCAAACTTATGACATTTAGTACTCTTTCTATGATATGTTTGTGTGTTTAATAAAGTTTGTGTTTGATTTCTTTTCTGACGGTTGCATAAAAGCATTGCAGTTAAGTGTTAAACCCGTGCGCTGTGTGAATTTCCATATAAGGGTATAACTGGTTCTAGTGAACTGGCTGTCCAAAAAGCAGCAAGTCGCAACAAGCTTTGTCACTTCCTGTGTGGTGAGGCGGGTGGGGACAGAAAGAGAAGCTATGTGAAGTGCGCAGGAAGCTAGTTTTATCAATTCTTTTTCCAATGCTCTAGCCGATATTTCTGATCATGTGTATAGAGGCAACATAGCCGTATATTTAATTACCATCTCTATATTTGTATATCATTTCATGTCAAGAGGTGACAGCATTTGCGCTGCAGTTTGTAGTTTCTCGGTTTAGGCAGTTTGTTTACTTTTGATCTTATGATTGTGCTAAGTGCATAATTACTATTCTATATGTGATGCAAAAATACATGCATATGCAGTGATTGACATAAATTATATTCCATATATGTTTTGTAATCTTATCTCAGAACCTCTCGGTTTTCAAGGATACTTATAAGTGATTCATGATAAAGGTATAGGGGCAGTTGCGGTATACATTTTCTGCCAATGTGTACTGCTGGATGCTGAGTCCTGACTTTGTTCTCACCCAGCCCCCCTGCTCCTCTCCAGTGTGTGCAAACCACAGCATATTGTGGAAGAAGCTGCTTTTGCAGATAAGGTGTATCTGTAGCAGCTTCTACTCACAAATGCTGACTGTCATTGTACAACTCCTGGTTTTGTACACCCCGCTGTCCCCTTCATATAGAGTTGGTGTTACTTGCTCTTCAGACCCTTGCGAAATGGATTGCACACTTTCTAATGAAAAGCAATGGTGTTTACATTGTCTCAGCAGGGATAGAAATTGCACATCTAGGCAAAATGAAAGGTGTAAGGTGGGAAGTGGCTGGCAGTGTGTAGACTATGGGTAAGATGCAAGAGTTTGGTAATCTACAGAGTGTGTGTGGGACCAGATAGCCATGTCTTGTAAGTCAGGTTATGCAATGGCAATATCAACTTGGTTTTTGTGTACTTTTTTCAGTGGCTTGGAGAAAGGTTTATGAAATGAGGACAGTGGCCTATGTTGCAGGTATACTATGTATGTAGTGAAATCCTTTTGTAAAATGACAAGTGTTTGTGATCCTGTTGGGTAAGGCCAGGTTGCAAATGGGATTATGCGCAGGGAAAACAGATCCTTGTTTTGTTAGAAGAGCAATTTTCAGGGGACTTCCTGTTGAGCTTACTTCTACATATCACAACATTTCAAGATGTCTTTCACTGTGTTGTATAAGTCTTTTTGTGTAAGACTTCACTTGCGACACCCACAGCGGACACCACAGGCATTCACTTTGCAATGTACGGCTTATGGGTGGGACCAATTCTAGTTCCTCTATCTGTGGTTGGTGACGTGGCTATTGTGAGATCCTTTAAAAGGGTACGCTGGCCAGCCTGCGATCCTTTCTACCCATCGTTCCTTGGTCGAGGCAGTATGTGAGCACTGAAATCCGAAGAAAACCAGTATCTCCAGAAACCACCCAGAGCAAGAGATGCATACGTAAGTACATGGATGGTGGTGTAAGATTTGGACACCTTAACTTCTTTTATCATTTGAAAAGAAATATTTTTGAAAACAGAGCTGTTCATTTCACTGGGTTTTTTTTTCTTGCCATGGCATTGAAAACGGTAAATTAATTCCCTGTATTACAGCTCTTTAAAGGTTGCAATTGAAGATACCTTGCCAGTCGTGCTCGGTAGTTATTTATTAAAATGGCAGCTTAGCTATTTGCTACATAATCCTGAATGCCTACATTTGTAATACTAGACTGTAGACTTTTATAACAATTTGCTATGCTTTTACCAAGCCATGCAAATCCTCTGTGATCCTTGTGTTATGCAATTGGCCCATTTCCTTACATATCAATAATGGCGCCCTCTAATTCTACGCTGCAGCAAGACAACATACGTTTTGTGCTGGGTCCTAAAGACGGTACAATAAGCTTACAAGATACAATGATATTTTAAGTTGCACAAAGCCATTATCTGCACATTTTAATGCATCAATTTAGTCACTGGTCTGTTTCATGTTCAAATTTTGTGTCCATGTATCCATTATTTATTTTCAAAAATGCACTAGTACGCAAATAGGCTTCCTCATTCTACTACACCTGCGAGTGCAGCTCCTCATAGCATAGCTAGCATATTCTCATATAGCATAGCTAGCATATTCTCTTCTGTTTCTTAAATTAACATATACTCTTTGGCCCATAGCCTTTGTGCATTGTAAACCGTAGTCTATTCCAGCAAAACCTTATTAAATCAACATTAAAGGCACTTAGAATGTTTTTCATACAGTTCCACGCCAGATTTACACACAGAATACATAGGCAGCTACTAGATGGCCTAAACAAATGGTTCCCTGCCTCTGGTGACTGTCAGAAATGTGTCTCTTGTGCTTGCAGTAATGTCGCAGCATTGACTGCGATGCATTTTCCTGTTTCTCATAGTACATGAATGTAAAACCAAGAGTTTGCATTACATTGTCGAAGCCAAACATTTACTTGCGTAAGCAATAAATGACAAGTATATACAAGAAAAAAAAAAAACTTCCAGTGGTTACTTATGTAATTTCAGAATTGGTACTTGGATATAAATATGGCCCAAGACGAAGACCAAAGCCGTACGTAATAAAACTATGTCAGGGTAATTTAAACTATACTTAACATTCTATGACTATGAGATGCCTAATCTGTTTCTTTAAAAAAAAAAAAATGCCTGCCCCTTGCAGTTTGCTCCACATTAGTTCCTTATATTTCTTACATTGCACTCAAAGCTCCAATTGTGCTTCAACTACTGGTTCCCATATGATGAAATGCAGTTACTTTTTTGTTAAATGGCTACCAGTTCCTGGCATAGTACGTCCTTTTGTAAGATACCAGTTCTGTGAAAATTGAGCACTTGTATGAATCCAAAAAAGCAGAAGTGAAACTTAGTTTGGCGGGAGGTGGTGATCTCACAACTGATACACAGAGGCAGTTTGTCTTAGTAATGGGGGTGCAGGCTAACAGGCTGCAGAGAGGATTACTGGTGCATGTCATTGATGGAATGTCTAATTCATCTGCTCAGGAAGTTCAAAACCGTTGAAGATGACACCTGGAAGTTTAGCTGTGGCTACAAGAACTGGAGGTATCTGGCCTGGTTTGGAAATGTCACACCTGCAGTGGGAAGGGGTTTTACTTTGTCTTTAGCTGCAGGTTGTGATACAGTCTGAATGTAATTGCATCCTCATTCATGATCAACAAAATTATCCAACACAGTATCAAGCAATACTGAATTAATATTCATAATAATAATAATGAGTCTTGATGCCTGACCTCCTAGATCCTGCTTACAACTACAGGATATCTATATTCCACTGCATCAAATACTAGATTTCAGTATGTGTTGCCATGAACTGAGAATTTAAACTTTGTGATTACAACTAGTGGTACAATTGAAATATATCAAACCAAACCCACAAACTTTGTTCTTTAAATAATATCAGTGGAGCTATAAGTAAGCTTTATGTTCCATTAATACTGCCTACTTTTCTTGACTTAAAGCCAGCTGCATGTGCTTTAACTTGTCTTATTAGGGCTACATTTAAAAAAAAATATTTAACTAACAACCATTTTCTACAAAATAATGTTAAGATTCATATTTAACGTTACATATT